CTTCCTCAATGATGAATAACAAGATATTCTCATGTTGCAGTCTTTGTCGTTCGGGGGCCTTTTAAGGGGGGAAGATGTGGGGATGCACATGCGCCCAGCCTCCCTTTTCCTTTTTTACGGCAGCGCAAAAGCCTAGTTGTGGTAACACCCCCACGGCCGGCGCTCGTGATTCCCCCTTTCCCGGCACGCGGAACGGGTCTCCCCTCCCTCAGCGAGAAATGGTATTATTCTCGTCAGAGAGAGGAAAACCAAGTCAGTGAACAAAACTAGCGTGTGGACGGGCGCATGTTCTCTCTGACACCAGCCTAGGAAGGAGGAGGTCAAACCTGCAACCCCCTGCGAGCCGAAGACGACAACGACCAAGGAGTAAGCGTCTATCCTTGTTTTCTGTACTATGTCCTCGCGACTTTTTCGCGCTATTGCCGACGCCTAGCAATAAAGTGTCGTTTTGTTGACCTAGCCTGTTGCCTTATTCACCCGCACCCATGTAGCTGCAATGAGACTAGCTACGGATAGGAGACGTTAATCGTGCAGTGTACAACTGTGTGCGGCTGAAACGTTAGCTAGGCTTCTGCCTCAGCCGTACATAAGACGGACTCCTATAGTTGCGAAGTACATTGACAGCATATCTCCTAATGTACAGTTGAATCATTCTGTAATGCCGTTAGTTTAAGGATGATACGCAAGGGTTGTGAGATGAATGACTTGGCATTCCTTAAGAAGCGATTGGACTGTGTCGGACAAAAACACACGCCCTCGGTCACTCAGGACGCCAGGTTACTGAGGTCACATATGAGATCACTCCGTTGATCAGTCAGTCGTCGTCGTCCGCACCCGCCACTGACGTCCTCCACCTGTCCCGTCTGAAACCATACATCTCTGCACATGATGCTACTCTCCTTTAGGTGCCGAGACGGTGCTACCGGGGGCGGGGTTACACGACACTGGCAATGAGAGAGCACTAGGTAGACGACGAAGAAGAATGCGATCGCGTTCGTTTTGCTGCTGTTGTACCTCCATCTTGGCTGCAGCTGCCTCTGACTCTCCCTGTATATTTTGTAAATATATTTATTTCATTCATTCTCTCACCCCCGTGACAATATCATAGAAACACTGCAGGAGCACTACAAATTCGACAGAATAAGTAACATTCGCAATAACAACATGTGCTGTGCATGCAGCAAACGGGCAAATTCGTTGCTTGCTCGCAGTGCTCAACAAAAAGTCCTAAAGAGGCATTGTGGACTTTTTTTAGACAATGGCAAAGTTTCTCAGTCATTACAGACACTGCGGTGCCAGTATCAACTAATGCAATGACAGGTATACCTTCAACAGACACAGCAACAATGCTGGAAGGGGAAAAACAAAGTCTTGTGGAGTTCAAAAGATCCGCAGCTCTTGCCTCCGGAACTGCAGCTTAGTTTTCCTCGGGGACACAGCGAGGTCAACGTAGCATAGGGGAAAGGAAACGGTGCTGAGGTGAAAGCGACTAGGTGTCTGTTGAAGTTCCGACGAGGATGAAAATGAGTCCATGGTGGCAAGCAGGCTCGATACAACAGGCTCAGGTCGCGGAAGGAAAATCGTAAGGGTTGGGCCGGACGACCTCACGCAGGAAAAACTCACGCCGTCAACAAAACCGTGCTACTTGACCCGCACATCCACAGGCGAAGAGTAGGGGGCGGTTGCCTTTAAGTGTGCCATGTGTTCTGAAAGCTTGGTGGTGGTCGGGAGAAAGGACGGGCAGCCTGATGCATAGGCTGAGGCCGATGCGACAAAGGGGCAGGTGGACGTAGGCACTTGCGACAGGCAAACGTCGGGGTCCGTTCAGTGCTTCGTCATAGGTCAGTGGAGCAGCCACAGGTGGTACGTGAGCTGTTGGTCGCACCTCGGACACTTGCACCTGGACGACTCGCTGTACTGAAGGCAGTAAAGTAGATGGGGCGCCTTCGAAGGTATAATTCTTGAGAGACAACTGGCATGCGACTTCTCATAAAAATTGCATGATCTCGAGAAGCAAAGTAGAGCAGGTCTACCGCAATGCCAGCCGACTTTACAGCAGAGATTGTTGCACATGGTGCACTGGCACGACGAGTAGTGTCACACTGTTTCCAGAGCTCATCATAGCTCTGACAAAGCTGGATCACTTCCGCTACTGCTTGCGGGCTCTTGGCGATGAGCATCTGCAATGCATTGTCAGTCAGGCCTTTCAAGATGTGCTTAATTTTCTCAACTTCTGTCATGGCCAAGTTGACACGCCAGCAAAGGTCGACTACATCTTCGATATAACTTGTATAATTTTCACCATTTTGTGGAGCCCGAGTACGCAAGCGCTGAACGGCCAAACAAATCCGCAAACGCCGTTTGGAAGTCCTACCAGGTGGGAAGGTTCCTGTCATGATTATAGTACCACAGACTGGCGAAGTCAGTCAAATAAAATTGGAATGAATGTAAGCTTGGGCACATCGTCCCCACTTTTTGCGCATGCTCACCCGGTCGTATTCGTCGAGCCAGTCTTCAACGTCCTTGTCATCGGTTCCCCTGAAGGTGAATCGCGTTGCCCAAAAGAGCCGGGACAGACAGGAGCTGGTGTAGTTGGAGCCGAGGCGGCCGCCTGCTGGTCGTTGTCCGTAGACATAGCAACTGGAGGCAACGTACAGTTTCACAATTCCAGGATTATGCAGTACCCAGCACCTCCACCAGATAAAATGAGGTGTTTAGGAGTGGCACTCCTTTATTACCAGAAGAGCAGTCACAACAAGTGAACTGGTAATGGCGGAACCAGCCTGTGCATTGAGCCAACCAAACGTCGTCTTGACAGTCTGAGTGATACCCTCTGCCTTTCTGAGTCGCACTCATCTTCTTCACTACAGTGTCAGTTTTTGTAGAGCAGTGGATTGTGGTACAGACACAAGCACACAAATGGCATAAAGCCATTGCATATTGCCACATTCCTTCCTCAAGTTTTGCTATCGTCCCATTATGCTGTAAGTATTTCACAGCGAAAACCACGCCTGCAGTGCTCGAAAACTTTCAGGACTGTAGTTGATTATTTTGTTACTATTACATGCACAATGTGAACATAACAGATTGTTATAGGAACGTATGTGGTTGCTATAGATAACACTGAAATATTCGACGACACATGTACAAATTCCAACACGCTTCACTGCTTGCGAGTTTATTGATGGCCGACTCACTGTTCGCCGCTATCAGTCCCATCTATATTCCAGCTGCTGCATGTTGTGCACCCTGTTATTAGTTTCGAAATGCTTGTCGACATTGCCACCTAATACACTGCCAGAATCTTTCCTGCACTTAGGAATAGACAGAAAGTGACAGCGTAGGACATAAAATTCTTTGTAGCAGACAGTTTCGGCACTGTATTTTTCTGTTGACAATGCACAACTAAGGAAACGCGAATTTGTATTTCGTAGTTCCCACTATCCAGTGCGTAGTTATTCCGCATTCCTTTATTATGATTGTTGGGATATAACGTCCTGTAACCACAATACAAATACGAGAGACGCCGTAGTGGATGGCTCTAAATATTTAAACCGCCTGGGGTTATTTAACATGCATCTTTTCAATCTACGTACATGGGCCCCAAGCATTTTTAGCCTACCCCAAAAATGCAGCTGCCACAGCCAAGATTCGATCCTGCAAGCCAGCAGTGAAGCATATAAGCACTAGAGCACCGTGGTGAATTATGTTTCATTTTTAACAAGTACGCATAATGCGGTTTATTTTTTAATTTTATTTATCAATACTATAAACCAAAGGTTCATACAGGAGTGGGCATACAAACAGTTCTGCCAGAGCATCGATTGCAAAAAATATATATACAAAAAAGACACGCTCTGTCAGTAAAAAAAACAAACAAGGAAGCAATACCAAGAACCATATTGGGCATTTCAGGAAAAGCCACTTCAAACAAAACTGAAAGGTTTTAATGCATTTAATTAAATATTCATGATGTCATACTCAGCACCTTGTTGATGGTTTCAGATAGTGACATATCACTGCATCCCTACAAACCTAAATTTAGCTACACTGTCATTTCCCAGTTTTTACAGTGATCCCAGTTTCTTCCCAGTTTCCCAGTTTTTTTCGATATTCACCGCTTTCAATAAAACATTGAACATGTGTTCTCGTCGATACCGTGGTGATATGTGCTAAATTATACAACCGTAGATCATTTTGCTTCTTTAGAAGACAAATTTTAAAATTGGTAGCAGATTCTGCAATCACACCTGTAAAAACCCGGGCCACCCTGTGTATGTGACGTAACCGCCTACTCTTCTTCAAAAACCCGCCTTTCCCAGCAGACGAATGCAGTTCAGTTTTGTCAGCTGGATACAGCTTGTTAGCCGTCGTTGATGTCAGGTCTTACAATATTGAGCAACGAGGAAATCAATTCGAGGCATGTCCGATGCTTCACGCACCGATGGGTCGAAACCAAAAAGCGATGCTTACGCGTTCAGATAGCAGCTACAATTATCGTTGAACTTGTCACTGGCAAGTTGAAACGAGCTGGCACAGCTTCATTCCACGTCGGATGACATTGCCAACTTGCTTTTCGTGCGTAAGAAGTGGCACGTGAGCTATGTTACACCCTGGCGAGCTGTGGTGGGGTGTACCGGATCTCGTAACGTCACCGGATTCTTGTGACGTCATTGGATACCCTCCATGAATGACCAAGCATCTGCCTGTTTCGGTTTCTGTATTGACTCGTCGTTCATTGCTCAACTAAATCATTGGCGAGTGCCTGTGCAAAATGAACCACCCTAGCTTTTGCAGGACTGTCAATACTATTTGAAAACGGCATTACTTCAGTATGGTCCTCCTAGTATTTTCCTTTTATCTAATTCTCTCTCTCCTTCACGTTTACTGATCTATGGTTACGTATGCAGGACACTGAACCGAAGACATTTTGCTTAGTTACAAGACGCTACTGCACACCTCAGGTGCACGGACTATTGGTGGGTGTATTGCCCCCGTACCTGCCCGTACAGGGTGTGCAGAAGGGAGTGACCCGTGCGGTCGGCCACAGCACAGCACCGGTGGGCCTGTCCACCCTTGCCAAAGTTGTACGACTGGCCACCAAAGGCCCGCTGGTAGATCTTGCCATCCTGTGTCCGGCTGAATGGCATGCCGTAATTCTCCAGCTGCATAGAAAAAAGATAAGCCTGGTCATGGCCAAGGACAAAGCCTATTGGGCCTGGCTTAGACAACTTTACATATATTATTGGCCTGGCATCAGCAGGTACACCAAATGAAAAAAAAATGTATAAAGTTTTGCTGTAAGGGCAGAGCAATGAATGTGATAGCAACAAATTAAAATGCTACGCTGAAGAAAGGCAATCAAGTCGAAACATGCGGCGTGCTGCTCAAGACAAAAGAACGCACACAGGACGTAGCACGAGCTAACAACATTCGACAGCTCAACACTCAGCGTGCTGTGCTCACTCAAGGGACATACGAAACATAAACGCACAGATATACACAGGATGAGGGCGAACTACCTAGTGCCGCAGTTGTTACTTTGCTGTGCTTGAAAAGCATGCTCAATTCACAAATGGAGACTGCAGCGAGCAAAGTGCCTTTTGTGAGCCCTGTAACTACTACGCGATCATTCTAGTGAGAGCCCAAGACGTACAATTCTCAAACACCACAACATAAGCGCGCGTGCACAGGGCGACCACGCACAGCAGGGCAAAGTACATGAGCGGGCTGCCAAGCAGCGCCATCTCACAGTAGCTAAGAACACGCTGATATTTCTCCCCCCCCCCCCCCCCCCCCTTAAGATTGGCATACCGCCAGTAGTAAATGGTGTATATAAATACCTTGCTGTTACTATGGCAAAGGACACGAGCTATTCGCGACGAGATCGACTATAGGTGAAAGCACCATCCTTGCAGCAGTGTGAATAGGTGGTCAGCGGCGCGTATACAAATATGCGTAGTAGCACTTTGCTGCGTGTGGCTTTGAGCCGATTGTCAGCGAATGAAATGCGTTGACGGCAGTTTACAGGTAATGTTTGCACTCCTCTCTGCCAATCAACACACACCATGCAATGTTACTATGACTACCAAGTCACGCTCACCTTGGCTGGCTGACTGCGCGCTTTCGCACTGAATCACGCTTGTGCTGTATTGTTTGTACGCATTTCGCCTGACTGAACTACTTATTAGCATCTTGCTCATCTGAATACTATAAAAGAAAGAGAAAGAAAGGTACCTCTCATATCGGTGCGACGGGTTCGATTCCACTGTTCGCACCGAACACGCATGCACATTTTATGCCTCATTCTGATTCCCATGAAATGTGGGACAGTCGATAAGTCTAGACAGGAAAGCTTCGTGGCTGAAAGCGCTTTGCCTTACATTGATGTTTATCACGTACGCACATGTTCGTGCACCAGTAAAGCGATCGTAAACGCATAAGAATTCTGGAGAAGGCTTTCATCGAAGGATTACGTGCATATTGCCACTAGTACAAGTTCTGCAATTATTATTTCCATAGATGCTGGCAGGCTTGTATGTGCCGCTGTTCAAAAGAGGACGAAGATGCACTTGCAGAGAAAAACAATGAAGTCGTATTGCCGTTGGTCGAATCAGTCTGATGTCCTTGTGTGCTATTATCTACAGGTTGCAGTTACAGTGTAACGTGACACTGGTGGAGGTGCTGGGTAATTGTCTATGCACTGTTACCACGAGGAATATCTCGGCCCCAACATCGACGCCTTGGCAGAAACGGCCGACCTTCGACGCAGTCGGCGGCAACTAGGCCTCCCACCCCAATTCAGCCCTCTTCCGGAATGCTCCAGAACCATGGCAAATGCGACAACTGCAAGCCAGACTGAACAGAACGTGACTCCGCCAGCTCCACGGCCACCAGCCATGAAGCTGGCCCAAAACCCCAAAGCCCTTCCATAGGGAGCCCTACGAAGACGTTGAAGACTGGTTGGACCAATACGATCGAGTCGCCGTCGCCAACGAGTGGGACGAGCACCGGAAACTGAGGTATGTCTATTTCTACCTGGAGGGTTCAGCGCGTATTTGGTTTGAGAACCACCACGCTGCCCTGACAACATGGCCGGTGTTTTGCATTCGGCTGCGGAGTACGTATGGTAGCACCGACCGGAAGGAACAAGCAGAACCTCTCCTCAATTCTCGCAATTAAAGACCGAATGAAAGCTTGGCCATGTTTGTTGAGATGTCTCGTCTGTACCGCCGAGCTGATTCTGCAGTGACGGACGACAAAAAGGTACGCTTTCTGATGCGAGGTGTCAAGGAGCAACTGTTTGCAGGACTTCTACGAAACCCACCAGCTACCGTGGCGGAATTCCTCCGTGAAGCAACAACAATGGAGCGAATGCTAAGACAGCGGTCCTCGCAGTATGAGTACAACCTTGCATGTTTGTCAGTTCCCTTGGCAACACCTAACGTCATGAGCGTGAGAGACCTTGCTGAGCTAGTCCGTAGCATTGTACACAACGAGCTGAAAAAGCTCCGCGCAGTGCCTTCACAGCCTCGAGTGGCTGCTCTGACAGACGTCGTCCGTGAAGAGGTGCGGCAGCTGGTATGACCATTAGTGGCACCTACAAGCGAAGCTCCTCTGCTAACATATGTGGAAGCTGTACGCACTCCTGCACCGGCAGCCAGCTATTTTCCCCGACCGACCAGCCTGCAGACGCCGCAACACTTCTCCAGCCTGCCGCACTATGAAAACTTACGACCGACTTGCCTGCAGATGCCGCAAGCTTCTCGGGCCCACCACACTATGACAATCCGTGACCTAATATGCGGAAATCTAGCGTGTGGCACGCTTTCGACAATCTGCCACTTTGCTACCACTGCGGTGAGCCAGGTAACTTGCACAAGGAGTGGTCGTACAGACAGATGGGCCTACCTGGATTTCAGCAAGACGCTAGTCGGCTCATGAATGGGGAACGACCCCGCGCTATCGCAGAATACTTGGCGAGTCTACCGTCTCTGAATCTTCAGCGACTGCCCATCACGCTCTCTGTCTCCTCGACGCTCTACGTCCTGGAATCAATACTCTACTTTTGCCGATGTTGTTGCGGGACGATCCACTAGGTCCCCAAGTCCACGCCGGAGAAACTAGGATCAGTGGCCTCCTGGGATGAGACCGCTGTTAAACTATTGTCAAAACACCCTCCTCCGACCCATCTACAGACCTTCGATGATTCCTTTCAGCCGACACCTCTCATCGCAGACGAACTTGCCTCTGCTGACATTGCCGTTCTTGTCGACAACCATCCGGTAACTGCTCTAGTCGACACCGGCGCCGACTACTCAGTTATCAGCACTGAACTTGTGGCTAAACTCAAGAAAGTTATGACTCCTTGGGGGCATAGACCAAACCTTTTTATAGCAGGTGGTCATCTCTTGACACTAATCGGCAGATGCACTGCAAGGCTGCAAATCTGTGAGTCGACGTTCATGGCTTCTTTCGTTTTGCTTCCCGAATGCTCCCGGAAAGTTATCCTTGGCATGGATTTCCTTCGCGAGCACGGCGCTGTTATAGATCTTCGAAACCGCCTGGTAACATTTGCTGACGACTATGGTCCGAAGCCTAGAGATACTGATCGGCAGAGGACTGAGCTTCGCATTTTCGATGACACCGTCACACTTCCGCCACGCACCAGTATGTTCGTTATTGTACAGGGTGACATAGATCACGACAGTAGTGGTATCGCTGAAGCCAACCTTTCGGTGCTCTTGTCTCAGCAAATCTGCGTTGCCCGCAGCATAATTCATTTTAAACAAGGAGCAAGGGACGACCGAGTTATTGGTCACCAATTTTAGTGGAGCATACCAACATTTGAATCAATTGATGATGAAGCGTGTACGACGAATGCCCCAATTTCCGCAGCTGTTTAAAGTGACACCGCAGGTAGCGGATACAGTTGATGTCAATCCGAAGCTGTCATGTGCACAGACAGAGCAAATACGCTGTATCCTCCACATGTCCAGCTACTGTTTCGCGTCTACATCCACGATAAAGTAAACGCCAACCGCAAAGCACCGCATTGCCACAGAACATGCTGAACGACCCATACGTCAGCACGCCTACCGAGTATCACAAAAGGAACAAGAGGCAATACGTTAAGCAGAGGCTCAAATATGGCGTAATCCAACCATCGAACAGTTCGTTGTCTTCCCCCATCGTACTAGTGAAAAAGGACGGCACACTACGATTTTGCGTCGATTACCGCAAACTCAACAAAGTGAAAAAGAAAGACGTTTACCCTCTTCCGCGCATCGACGGCTCACTAGACTGCCTCCGACGCTCTCCTCTATGAATTTACTTTTCCTCTATGAATACTTCTCCTCTATGAATTGCTTCATACTTCTCCTCCATGAATTTACGCAGCAGCTACTGGCAGATCGATGTTGATGAACGCAACCGAGAGAAAACAGCATTCATAAGACGTGATGGTGTGTACGAATTCAAGGTGCTGCCCTTCGGTCTGTGTTCTGCTCCTGCAACATTCCAGAGGATGATTCCAGTGCTGTCCGGTCTGAAGTAGGAAGCATGCCTTGTTTACTTACACGACGTCATTGTCTTCTCCCAAACATTTGAGCAGCACTTGCAGCAACTTAGATCTGTGTTTGCTGCAATTAGCATGACAGGCCTATCACTGAAACTAAAACAATGTCATTTTGGTTACAACGAATTAAAGTTCATCGGCCACCTTCTTAGCCACGATGGTATTCGGCCAGACCTAGACAAAACATTGGCTGTTGCAGATTTTCCACCACCTGCCAACAAACACGTGTGCATCAATTTTTAGGCCTCTGCGCATACTACAGACGTTCTGTGCAAAATTTCGCAAACATTACCGAACCCCTCACTCGTCTGACAAAAGAAGATGTTCCCTTGGTGTGGGGCCCTGAGCGAAGACGCGCTTTCTCCAAACTCCAGCAGCGTCTCCAGGCTGAGCCCTTACTCAAACACTACGACGAAGATGCCGACACTGAACTACACACAAACGCCAGTAACATCGGCCTTGGTGCAGTCCTCATCCAGTGTCAAAGTGGCGTCGAACGTCCCATTGCTTATGCAAGCCGGATTTTATCATCTGCGGAGGCGAATTGCACAATCACTGAAAAGGAGTGCCTAGCTGTTGTCTGAGCAA